AATCAAACTATAGGTTGGGACCATATAAGAAAATTCAAAACAGATAAAACCAACTGTAAACTATGCACACAAAGATGCATTAAATGAGGCCAACAGTGGAATCTCCGGCAAGAACTATCATTCAATCAACTACTGTCTTATGGTAAAGACTGTTGGTTCGTTAAAATCTACATATTCTCGTGAAGGGGCTGGTCTCATTTAATGTACCAAAAATTTCAGAAAATGTAAACAATCACAATACTAATCCAAAAACAGAAAGTACAGAAGCATTCATGAAGAAAAACATCTCATAAATAACAGCTCCTCATTCTTCAATCAAGTGAGAGGCATAACTGTCAATATTATTGCCTACTTATATATTTGTCCTTAACCAATAACAACGAGCTTACATTGAGCGAAGTCGAGTCAAGTTTCCAATACTAGAAGATAGGGTTCCTGACAATCCCATACTAGCCATATCACTGTGAAAAACCCACAAAAACAAAAATCACAAATTCAAACATAAACCAATACAAATTTTCAAAACAATATTGTGATTTTTGGGAGGAAAAAACATGGAAAATAATGCAACTTACAGAGAGATAACAAAACCATCATTAGAGCAAGCAACCATATACCAAGTGCAAGGATCAACTGAATTAATATCCCAACCATCTAGAACATGGTACTTTTCATCTCTCATCTTGTTCTTCACTAACATCAATGCAGCCACTATAAATGTAACCCCAAATCAAAAAATTCATATTAATCACATAAAAATTACAGAAACTCAACAAATAATAAAGAATCAATAAAAGGGTATTTGAAGCTAAACATTAAACATTGGAATAATCCCAAAATAAAATTAAATGAAATGAAAACAAAAATCAAGGAAACAAATATGATTAAATTAATGTGTTTTAGAAGCAAACCTTCATAGTTGACACCCTTTGGAGAAAGATTACTATCAGCAGCTCCAATCACATCAAAAAAGCACAAAAGTACTGCCAAAAACAGAACCATGGCCAGAAAATACAATCATAAAAAATTTAAAATTCACTAAAATGGGGAAAAAAGAACCACTGATAGATCTTGAGTGAAAACTGAGAGTGTAATGTCAAAAAGTTAGAATCTTGGATTTTTCTGAAAAAAAGTTGCAGAAAAAACGACAGTTTGTAAGGAAAATGGTGCCAATAAAGAAGTTCTAGCAGATGATGCTGAAAGGAGTAAGAAAACGAAACATAAGGGTGTGTGTCCTTGGATTTTGGGGTTTGAAAAATTAGCTCAAAAACAAAGATAATTTTGTCTCGAGATTTGAATGATTAGTGTCAAAAATGTCTAAGAATCTGGTAGAGTGGAGAACAAGGGTGTCCTACAAAGCTACAATACTATAGTATTTGGCATTTGGTGGTACTCACTCCTTCGTTACTCCCTATGTCTTGCAAAAATGGGCACTTGAATAGGTAAATTTTCAAAAATATCGACTCGATAGTAGAAAGTGGTAAATTAAGTGGCATAGAGTATGTAGTTGGAATGTAAAATTTTATAGTTGGATTATTTGGATGTATATTTGTTTTGACATTGAATTCTAGAATATATGTGAATATAAAAGTAAGCTCCGGTTATTCAATTTGAGTAACAATTTTTGTTTTTCAAATGGCAATAATGTAAATTTGAACAACTTTTTGTATTTTTTATTATTTTTACATTAACCTAACATTTCATTTGACGTCGTAAGCAATTTCCATCGTTTCACCCATCTTCTTCCTAAGGATACAATTTTCACCATTTCACCCATCTTCTTCCATTTTATTTCACCCACCACCATTTCTACCATTTTCGACAGCTTTCATCTCCACCCACCACCATTCAAACGAAAACCCTAAAACAAACTGAGATATAAAGGGCATAATCAATCCCAAAGGATAGGGGTGTTATGTTCCTCCCTTGAAGCAACCCTTGAGCTTCTGAAATTTCCATTGAAGCTTCTGAAATCTCCATTGAAACAAAATCGTGAACAGTCGACGTGAATTCCTGTACCACCACGCTGATTCCAACAACTACAACCTTCTCTGAATGCCTCGCTGAAGTCCGTAGCTGACAACTCCAACCTCAACGCTTCTCCGATTAGTGTTACTGCAAGTGTTGCTTACCTGCTAATTTTCATTAACATCACTTAACGTCAGTTAACATCTTCTATGTTCTATCCATCCTCATTGTAAATTACAGTCAGATCTCCAACAAAGTATGTGAAATGACTAAAGTGCCCTGTTGAGAAACGAGTTTTGTTACTCATGTTGAGTAACTTGTATTTTCCCGTGAATATAATATTCATTGTTTCAGTATCTTTTGTACATCATTTGTTTTTTAAAGTATTACACTTTGGTCAACGAAGAATTTTAGAAGATTGAATTAAATTTACAGTAATAAAAACAAGCGGGGTCAATGGATAAAAAAGAATTGTAAGAAAAGTAAACTTTACTCATGTGGCTTGAGATTTTTAGCAATTATAACATCTTGATAATCATCTGGTCTATTAACCTATGCAATGCATGGATTGTTTAAAGTAAAATCGGGTTACACTTAACTTATGTTCAATAATTATGTAATTTTCTATGAGAAACATAAATAATCAAGGAGATAAAAGTTGAACATTTATTTTAGCCCTTTAGCTTGTGTAATGCATGGATTGAATCAACTAGACTTATGGCTTGTACAATGCACGGATTGTTTTTAACGTCTATGAAAAGGTGAAGGTAGGTCTTTGGGTTTTGTACCCAAGACCCAACTAGTAATTGTGACCGAATTTTTAACAAAGCGAGCATATAGAATAAGTTATAGATTGATTGTACTAACAGACATAAATCAATAAAGAGTTAATTTTAGGAAAAATTATCGAGATAAAATGACCTTTCACCCGTCTTTCGAAAATAAGACGACCTTTTAATTATTTGCATGACCGGTTGACCATCAACCCCCACGGCCCCACCTCATCACCAAGTCGTCACCGCCACCCTCAACTCACCAGCTTAGCCGAAACCCCAGCTCTCACCACCATCCAATCACCCACCACCAGCACCGAATCCACCACCAGCCCTCACCAGCAGCGCCAAATCCTACCCCAGCCTTTACTAGCCCGGCTGAAACCCCCACCGCACCCTTCCACCACAAGCTCGAATCGGCGAAATCCCCACCCCTAACCTTCTACGAACCCGAAAATCCCCCATCGAAACCCTTCCGCCACCAATTCTTATCCTCACCATTCTGAAACACCCATCCCAAAAAACCAGTCGGCGTTGCGGGGAAGCAAGAGGGGCTTGGGGCACAGCGGGAAGCGCGTAGGAGGGGGAGGGAAATGGGCGGCTTTGCGGGAAGGGAAGGAGGGAGGAGGGGGCTGATGCTGGTGGTACTGCACAGAGGAGTAGGGGGAGGCCGGAGGCGGCTGAAATGGGGAAGGGGAGGGGGAAAGGGTCTTTTTTTTAAAAAAAAAAAAAAGAAAATTTTAAAAATTAAAAATAAAATCCTAAGCAATCACAATCCGACACGTGTTCGGTTTAACCTTTGAAACAGGTTACTGATTATTTATTCCATTTATAGAATATGCATGTCAAAAGCCGTTTTGGAATAATACAATTTATTTTTATTTATTTTTAAGACAATATTCAAGTAATTGATTGTTATTTATAATGTAATTAATTAATTAATTGATGTTTCCTTTTTCTTTGCAGATCGATTGATTTTTAATTAATCATCTATTAGTCTACTACTCATGTACAATAAAACAATATGTCAAAAAAAGAAAACATCTTAATCTACTAGAAAATAATAGTTTATCTTCATGATAAACTTTCATGGTTTATATTGGTCTTTGCACCTTATAGGTTGAGGGTATTACTGTAATTTCCAGATTAACTACAAACAGATTTTGTTAACGTCGTTTTTCATCTCCTCCATTAACATCACCATTCTCTCTCCTCCATCACACGAATTTAATGAGCTTCAATGGAGAATTGGCTAGCTAAAATGGAAAATTGGAAGTAGATGACAAACCTTACCCTTTAAGGTTAACCATGCCCTGCAATTCACCATTTTTACATAGAGTTTTCATTTGATTCCGGGGGCAAAGCCGCCGGAATTGGTGGTGGTCGACCTGGTCGTGTTGTTGGTGAATTTGAAGGGCCTTGAAAAACAGATGAAGGTGTGGTAGAGATAGGAGGAAGAAGATGAAGGTAGTAAGAGGAGGAAGAAAGTGAACTAATGGAGTATTGGAGTTAACACTGTTAATTCTGCATCTTCCTTCACGTAGCCACATTGCAAGTACATGATGTGTCACATTTTACTGTTGCCAAAATTCACCAAATTGCCACTATCTACAAGATTAATGGGGGCTTGCCCTTAATCTACAAATAAAACATTAAAGCAGATCACTGACCAAAAGAAGCTTCTAGAGGTGCTCATTATTCAAATTAAAACCAAAATCCAATCCAATCCAAACCGAATTACCAATCGAGTCGAATCCGAATTATAAATCGAATTGAATCACATTGAATATTTTGAAAATTCAGATTTTCGGTTGGATCAAATTAACGTTGTCAAGGCATTTAAGTTAAAAAATATTATTAGTCAAAGTTGATGATGACAAGTGTGCCGGTCAAAGTGAGGCATGTATTTTGAAACAGGGAGTATAAAACATCTTAATCTAAGAGTTTTCCCATATGCCTTACTTGACTTGGATGATGTAATGTGAATATGCCTTGTGATCTTTTCAAGTTACCACATCACAACTTGGCAAGTTGGCATATACTTTGTAATACTTAGAAGCACAAGGATCTCAGTAAGGATTCTCAAAGCAAACATATCTACCTCCTTTACTGTCAACATAAGCAAAGGCTCTGTACAACTTATAATCATGAACAAACTCAAGCAACAGGGACTACCACCTACTTAAAATAAGATGAATCAAAGCTGTAATTCGAAATTCAACTCGCAAAGCAAACTCATAAACTTATGCAACAGAAAAATGAGCTTTACTAAATACTAATTTATGAACTGAATGAGATAGTAAGCAAACATTACTTTTCACAGGATGATTGATAATAATGGTACTACACTTCTTCCTGTCCAAGGTCTGCATTTGGTGCAATGAAGATAGAAAAACTACTGGATAACATACAGAGTAAACAAAATAGACAAGAAAATACACCCACCAACTACACCTTTCTGTCTCCACCGCTCTTCAGCGGTCTTTCCTAACAGCCATAAACAATTACAACCTCCTCTCTACTAACTTCAATGAGTACATTATCAGATTGACTTTTTCTATCAACAATTTACAGACAAAAAAGCGCGTTGGCGGTGAGAATGAGTGCACGAGAGTTAAGCAAGCAGAAGTTGGAGCTACATGTTTGCCCACTCGTTCTGGCTGAGAAAATTACATAGGGATGCCTCCATACATTTAGACTAAGATCTTGATCATGGTTTTCCACAGGATCTCACTCATCAACCAGCAAAAAACATCTATATGTGCTATATTGATAATTATGTCCCTGTTGGATGCATCAAATTGTGACCATACTGTTGCCTAACGTGCTCTGGAATCAACTTGTTAATTAGATCTGATGAAGCTCCAGACAGCTGCAAAAAGAAACAACAGCAACCAAAATTAGGAACTCTTATCATCCAAAATTACGGAATTGTTTGAATACTACTAGTTTCTCAATGCAAAGATTCAAAAGCAATATAATCGCTGACTGCATGATCCCAAACGACAGCCTAAGGTTTTCTGCCTAATGAGCGAGAGAATATACATGCTACAATGTCAGATAATCCCAAGTGAGACTCTCAGGCTTAGATTACACTAGACAATCTCAAGCAAAAGCCACAAAACATCCATGCAATTTTCTTCACAGCTAATTTTCAAGATAAAATAAATTATACTTCGTACTATTCTCCAGTAGAAATAAAAAGTCTAATGATCTCCTCAGCAGTGAAAGAGGGTCCTTAACTCCTTGTTACTAGATAATCCTTCAAATCATTACTAAGTTCTCCAGCTTCATAATATTATCAACTCGGTATGATAATGTACAAAAACCAAACACAGTAAACAGCACCTGAATTTCCTAATCCAGGTACAACACAATCAACTGGCATTTCTATCATGAAGTGGTCAAATCATGATTTTTACTTAAAATAGTTTCAGCAGCCAAATGTATCAAGCAAATTTCCATCTGGCTCAGTGTAAAAGCGTAAAACATAGCTGAAATAAACACAAGCATGAGAAAAACAAACATACTTCCTGTTTAAAATTGAAGAGAGGAGGCAATGGGCGACCATTAGGAAGACGAGCATTTGGTTCCCGGAGTTCATCAAAGAAAGGATGCGCACATGCTTCCAACTGGGAAAAAGTAAGATGAATCGTATAAATACTTCAATGAACTGAATATTACAGATGGATTATAATCCACAAAAACAAGACGCGAGAATAAGCTGATCAAAATGCTATTGACTGATTAATATAATTAAATTTAAATTAGAGCAAAGCATAAAGCATTAATATGATTTGGTTACAGAAACTTTTCAAACTTACAGCAGTGCAGCGTAAACTAGGTGAGTACTGAAGCAGCCTTGAAGTCAGATCAATGGCCTCTGGAGGCATGCGTTTGTGGAAAACCTGAATCGAAAAAGATATATAAACAACTTTAAATAAAAACTCAACTTAAAGAGGAGAAGGGGAAGGGTTGGGATTCTTGAGAACTGAGCACTGTGCTAATAAACCCTTCCTTTCTGTCAATTATTTAATGACATGTGACAAATGTGCCGGATTATAGAAGTTTCAACAGGATAAGCTAAATCAGTCCCGACACAAGTATGCAGGCATGCAGCATCTGTGGATTTATGATGGCCTCCAAAAATTAACTCAACAAAAACTACAAAAAGCACATATACAAGTAATATACCTTGTGCCAAGGAGTTGCTTTAATCTGGGGAAACCTAAAATCAGAGTAATTCGGATTCATGCATCGAATTTCTTCCCGTGTTGGTGTACCAAGGACCTTCAAATATACAAAGTAAAGATTTTGTCAAAAACAGAAAAGAACAGGCAATAAGTTACAACATGACCCTAAACTTTCCACATGCTGAACAGCCTTTCAATGAAACTTTTAGGCGTACCTTGATGATCTCAACGAGCTGATCAACAGCATTTTCCCCAGGAAATAATGGCTGGAAAAATCAAAAGAACACAAAATGAAGAGCATGTTCCATACAAATTACAGATCACACTTAGAAGAAATCCTCAAATTGAAATTCAGCTATCATAATATACTCACCTGACCAAGCAAAAGTTCAGCAAGAACACAGCCAGCAGACCATATATCTATTGAGGATGTGTATTCAGTGGCGCCAAAAATAAGCTCAGGAGCTCGATAAAACCGAGAACAAATGTAGGAAATATTGGCTTCACCCTTAACCTGATTGGACAAAAAAACAGGAGGTTAAAACGCCAAATTTAAGGGTGTAACAACCCCCCCCCCCCCCCATCCCTTCCGATGGAGGAGAGTAAGTGGCAGAGAAAATTAAAGAAATCCTTCTCAAGGGGGTTTTTTATTAAGAGAAAGCAATTAGTATTTAATATGCTACCATCATGCCAAAGCAATTAGAGAGAATACACACAGAACCAATCATCGCCATTTTTATGCCTTCACTATTTGTTAAAAGAAAAGGATCATGCACATATATAAAGTAAATGAATAGAACAGGAGAAACAATATTAGTATTATAATCCGGCAATGTTCACAGCACAGATCACAATTAACAAGGAGAATACATGTCTCGGCAACCACTACAACAAAATTTTTTGACTGCAAAACATTATGACAAATGTAGTTAGTAAACAAAAAAAAGAAAGGGAGGTTTGACATACAAGAACTTTAGCACTTCCGAAATCGCATATTTTCACTTGGTGGGTGAGAGGATCAACCTGCAGGGATCATTTACATCAAATTCAGCTCATTTTTTGATTAAGCTTGGAAAGAACTAATGGAAAATAACATACCAAAACATTTTGAGGCTTTAAATCCCTATGGCAAACTCCAGGAACATGGTGCAGATAAGCCAAGCCACGGAAGATCTGCAATGTGATTATTATACTTTAAATATGACAACCAAAACAGAAAACCAGCATCTCGACATGAAAATATAACATACCTGATATGTGTACAATTTAATATAGATGAGTGGCATTCTTTGATTAGCACTACTATAGTGCTTCAAAACCCGATACATGGTCTCAGGGACATATTCCATCACCAAGTTGAGGAAAAGCTCATCTTTACTAGTTGTTGAGAAGAAACAATGCTTGAGCGAGATTACATTTGGATGGTCTAACACTCGCATCAACTGCAACTCACGGTTCTTATACCTTCTATCTTGCAACACCTTCTTAATGGCTACAGTCTCTCCGGTTTCCAGACATTTTGCCTAAACAAAGACAACATCAGAGGGAAAAATCAATAATTATTTCGCTTCTGGACCAAAATAGGTCTTAGCAATCTACTTATGTATACCTGAAATACAATTCCAAAAGATCCAGTGCCCACAACTCTTTCTGCCATGTAACTAATTGTCTGAAAGAACAAAAATTGTGTTAAACAAGCATAAACATGTAAAAGAACAATTTACCAACTCAATGATAATGCACAAATCCACATCTTAAAGCATGAACATCATAAATATCTTACATCCTAGAACAAATTTAAGCACAAAACAGAAGCACAACTCATTATGATAGCTAAAAAAGATTTTAAAAAAAAAAAAAACTGCAGAACCAGTGGTGTCAAGCAAAGCAGATAAAACATATAATACATAAGCACTTAGACTTGTTCAATCACTTGAAACAAAAATCATCTCTAAAAAGGCCAAAAGAATTATAAACTCGAGAAAAGCGAAATGAGATCCAATTTCCAAAAATAGAGCATACAACACACCTGTTTAGGTTCTCCATTTTTACCCCCAATTGTAGTTGAAATAATATGTCCAGTGACAGCGCCATTGCCGTCTACTACCGTCGAAGCTAACTCCTGCAACAGCAAAAGTTAATTTAGTTTCCAACATCAACACCATACTCAATTCCAAAATTTAATCTAATTTAGCTAAACGCTCTAAAAAATGCAAATCAACCACCTAAGTGCTGTTAGGGAAGTGAAATCTATGAAATTAAAAAGATTTCAAAACATCAGAAAATTCTGCAATAGTACATATAAACAGCATAAAATCAAGCACATTTCAGATCTATAAAGTCACAAATTCAGCAAAAATCAAGTAAAATTCCAGCTAAAATTAAAAAAACAAAAAAAAACAACAGGAATTTCAGAATAAACAAAAATCAAATCCATCCAAACAAACACACAAAACACAAAAATTCACTCAAAATCAACAAAATTACACACAAACACAAACAAAAAAACAAGATCCATTGATAGATCGGAAGCAAAACCCTTAAAAAAACATAAAATTCGATCTGAAATGAAGCAAAAAACAGGGAGAAATTGAAGCTTGAATACCTAGATCTACAACATAGAGAGAGAATTTGGAAGAACCATGAGAAAGGAAGAGTAAGAGAGAGAGAGAGAGAGGGAGAAGAAGAGTACCTTGTCGTCAGCCATGGAAGCTGGGAAAGAGGAGGAGGAGAGAGAAAGAGGAGAGGAGGAGGAGAGAGAAAGAGGAGAGGAGTTAAGAAAGCATGGAAAATGGAGTTTAGGGCGACGGAGAGAGGAGAGAGAAAGAAAAGGGGAAGACCCCAGTTACGACAATACCCATGTGATTACAGCTCTTGCCCTTTCCCCCTTCTTTTTTTTCTTTTTTCCTTTTCTTTTCGGGAATTATTATACCTCATGTTTAGGCTATTTTCATTGTATTATACGTACATTCTCGTATTACAAATACCAATGATGTATTGTATATTGACTTACGCTAGCAAAACTGGCCCAGATTTGATTAATTGATGATCTGAGCTGAAGTGGAGTTAATCCTCTTTGGATCTAATTAGAATGACTAATGCACGCCATGTAGATTGGCAACATAAAGAGGGGAACCACAAATTTTTATATGTGGTCAGGGTTACTTATTTTAGGGTTATTTATTGAGGGATTACTCAATTGGTCAAGGGTTACTTATAGGGGTTGGGTTACTTATTCAGGGGTTACTCGGTCGATCAGGAGTTACTCTCAAATTGAAAACGCGCTAATCGGCTGAGTAAATTTAGAATAAGTAACCTGACCGACTAAGTAATCCCTAAATAAGTAACCCCGGAATAAGTAACTCCAACGAAAACGCGCTAACCGATCGAGTAACCCCTATAAGTAACCCCTGAATAAGTAACCCCCTATAAGTAACCCCGTCCACACGGTGTGTCCAGCAACACGGAAAAAGCGCCGAAGGAAAAATAGGTAAACAAATATTTTTAAGGGTATAAATGTCCACACACTATTTCAAAAGGTTACAAAAAAAAGAAAAATAAAAACTAATAATCCCACCTTTGGCTTTTATGCTCAAAACAATCCAACCTTTTCGAAATCTGAAAACAATCCCACCTTTGACCCCATCTGCTCAAGTCAATTCTTTTACCGGTTTTTCAAATTAGTAACCTGTTTAAGAAGGTGACTTGACACGTGTCATCTTCTTATTGGTTTTCATTTTTTTTGATAAATTTTTTTAAAAAAAGGATAATTGAAAAAAAAAATTAAAAACCTTTTCTTACCTCTCCGATCCCTTCCCTTGCCGGACCACCAAACAAACAGCCCCTGCTCCACAGCCACCAATTCGCTTCAACAGCCATAACAACACCGATCAGCTCACCCACAACCGCATCCCTACAATCACCTAATATCGCAGCCCGGAATCTTCAGCGACCACCACATTGCCATAACTCGCCACCACAACACAAACCACAACCCACGACAACCACCTCACCAGCCCACAACAACAACAGCTTCGCAGCCACCAGCCACACCAATCAACAACACGAATCACTCCCTTAATTTCATCACAAAACCACCATTGCCGCCCAACAATAGGAAAAAAACAGAGGGATTTGATTAAATAAGATCGAATGGTGGTGATTTAATGATGTCGATTTTCGATGATGATGAATGGTGGTGATTCAATGATGAAGATTGATGATGGAGTTTGATGGTGATTGAAGCTGGGGATCAAAGCCCAAGTAAGAGAAGCCAATTTGAATTAAAGAAGAAATAGGGGGCGAGTTTAGGTTGGCTGGGGTAGTTGTGAAAGGAATGGTGTCCTTCCAACAAGTGTATTATTCCGATAGAGGGTTCGAAATTATTAGAAAGCTAATATTCAGTGAGGTCAAGTGATCGGAATGTATAGGTGGAGGCCGTTTCCGATCAGTAATATTAATGTATAATAATATTACAGCTTAACACTACTAGAAAACAGCCAATCAACGACGGAAAAAATCCGTCGGAAAACCCTGAAATTCCGACGGAAATGCGCATTTCCAACAGAATTCCGTCGAAAGGCACCGTCGCATTACATGTTGTAGGAATTTCGCGATATTCCGTCGGAAAGGTCCATTCCGACGGATTTAGTTTTGTCGGAGTCAAGTTTGACTTATTTGGATAGTCCGTCGCAATATACCGACGGAATTTCCGTCGGTATGAGTTATAAATTCCGACGGAATTTTCCGTCGAAAAAGTCAATAAAAAAATAAAAAACAGCCCTGCTCACCATTACTCCACCACCCTCTAACTTTAACCCATAAGCCCAGACCACCCAGCACTACCTACCACCACTGAACCCAGACCCACGTATCACCTAGCCCAGATCCTCCTAACCCAGACCCACCCACGCCTCCCCACACCACCAGCTACCACTGAACCCACCCACGCCTCCCCACACCACCAGCTACCACCCCTTAGCCGCCAGATCTACAAACCACCACCGAAACCACCATTCCCCACCCTCCCCAACCACCACCAAAACCCACCACCCATACCCAGCACCGAACCCACCTTAAACCACCACCCACACCCAGCACCGAAACCTACCTAAAACCACCACCCACACCTAGCACCGAAACCCACCTAAATTCACCACCCATACCCAGCACCGAAACCCAGCCAATAAAACATCAAAAAAATCAAAAAAACCAACCGAAAAAACATCAAATATCTAACAACAAATTAATGAAAAAAAACCGGAAAAAAAACAAAAAAAAACCAAAAATACAACAAATTAATTAAAAAAAAAGATACGTACCTTAATTCGACAACACAAAACCTCGAAATTGGGTTTACGAGGTCAAATTCGACCATGAAAACTCTAGATGTAGAGTTTTCATAGTCGAATTTGACTTGAAAACCTTCGTTTTGACCATCAATAACCTTTTCATTGTCGAAGTTGTCGATTATAGCGGTTTGTAGTTCTTGACGGTGCGAGAGTGAGAAAGAGATGAATAACAGCGACAATGAGAAAGAGAAAAGAGCAGCGAAGAAAGAGAAGAAGATAGAATGAAGGAGGAGAGGAAATCAGAGAGGAAGAGAAGAGGAAAGAGGAGAGGAAAGAGAAAGAGGAAAAAGGCGGAAAGAGGAGAGAGAAAAGAGAAATGAAAGGGGAAGGGGGAATTTAAGGTTTCCGGGTTTTTGTATCGTTTTTTTTTATTTTATTTTTAAATTATTAACTCTGTCGGAAAAGCTTAAAATTCCGTCGGAAGTAGTAAATTCCGAGGGAAAAAAATCCGTCGGAATATTTCTGAGGGATTTTCCGTCGGAACTAACATTTTCCGGCGGAATTTTCCGACATATCCCAATTTCCGTCGGAAAATTCGAATTTTCCGAGGGAATTTCAGTCCGTTGGAACAATTTCGTCGGAATCCGGCCTATTTCTAGTAGTGTAATCTTGACCAAACCCTTCGGGTCACACCCCAATCGAGTAACCGATCCGAGGCGACAAATCAATCCGAAGGATTAGATGAGTCATTAGAGTATTATGAACAAAGACGCCGGATATCGAGCTTAGAGTGTCGAAACCGAGCGTCGCAAGTCGAGTCGAATTTAGAATTCGACGAGACGAGGAATCAAGCACACAACAAATTACAAATATACCCTTAGCCTCAGAATGCCACGAGCAATCCGAGAGCCAAGGGCAATATAGTTAGCCAAGGCAACCGCACCATCTCGCACGCGTGCTAGCAGCACTAGCTAGCTAGCTGGTGCGGCATGGCCAGCATTGCTGGCGTGCTAGGCGTGCTAGCATGCTAGTGCCTCGCACATAGCAGCACTAGCCGCACCATCGCAAGGCCAGCAGCGCACGCAAGTGCTTGCTGGGCCTCGCTAGCACAAGCAACGCAGCAGCAGCAGCAACACGCAATGCATGCGTGGGCTGCGGGTGTGCGTGCTTGCGTGCTGGGCTGCGTGCACGCACAGCGCCCAGCTAGCAAGCCTAACCAAGGGGCCAGGCCGCCAACAAGGCAGCTTTGGCGCCCAAGGCTGGCAGCACCAGCTGGCTCGCATGCATTGGTTGTGTGTGTGGGGAGCCGGTTTGTGTGGATTGCTTGGGGAGCAAGGGGTGGATGGTCCCCCCCCCCCCTTGTGGTCCTCACCTAACCTCTTGCTCTCTACTTGACACTTGTTGTTTGTTGATTCATTTGCAATTTAATTTGTTTTTAAATTAAAATAAATTGAATAAAGTGCATTTTAATCAACTCTCCCACATTGATGGGAGATTGTAATTTAAGCCTCCCTTCCCTATAAATACCCATCATTTGGGATTGGGAAGGGACACTTGAGTTGAGAATTTTAAGGGATCTCCTAGAAGAGAATACCTTAATTCTAATACTCTAAGTTCTTGGTCTAGCCCCGACTAACCTTCGGGGTAGGGACCGTTCGGGTCAGGTCTCGAGGGTGTGAGCCGTCGGAGGCTCACGCGCTTGCGGAGCTAGCGCTTTCAAGTACGAGCTCTAAAGGAGCGAAGCACGCGTCGAGGGTAAGATCGTCTTTTCTCTCTCTTAGTTAATTAATTATGTGATTATTAATTAATATGCATGTTTAGTTACATTAATTTGTGTGCGAGTCTTGGGAGGGTTTCATTCCGCGTAGTGTCGGACACTACGAAACCCAACAGCGGTATCGGAGCCGCGCTCATTTAATTATTTTAACTAATTATTAATTAAGGTGATTTAAAATGGATTTAAATTTCTGGTTTTGCTTTTTAATTAGATTTGAAGCTCGTTTTAATTAGTTTTAATCTCGTATTTATACTAATTTTGGCACAAGAACCCAGATTTCGACCCAAAAATAGTGAATTTTGGGTGGAATCGATGTTTTAAATCGTTTTTTATTCTCTTTGAGGACTGTCTAGAAGCCAAAATCCACCCAGAAACATGTTTTTCGAGGAGTTTTTCGTTTTTGACGAAAAATTTTAAATCTTTAAACCTTGATTAATTATGGCATGTTAATGTTAGATTATGTGTATGGTTACACCATTAATCTACTGCAATAATAAACCTTATTAAGCATGTTTATGAAGTCATATTTGATGCTTAATTTGGTGAGTTCATTTTTCACATAAACTTGTGATTTCACATTTTTGCAAATTAGTTGCTTCAAGTGTGAATGTTTATGGTGAATTTGTAATTTTGAAATCCCTAAAAGTGTTAAAGATCCAATCTTTAAATTGTTTATTTGGTTGGAACTTAACTTTCTAAATTCCATGTTGAACTAATTTTGGATTTAATCATTTTGAGCTGATTAAAGTCCTAAAAGTTCAAAACTTGTGATTGAAATTTAATTAATCTTCATATTGGAAGATGTAATTTTTCAATTTTACACAAGTTAGTGTTGGAAATTTTTTCATTAGATGAATGTGTTCTTTTTCCAACCTGATAAGTCTATTTTATATATATATTTATTCCCCGTCCCAATGGTCATAATTGTGTTTATTTGAGCTCTACGGAGCTACTTTTGTTACTAATATGCGTTTTCTAGTGTTTTCGTAGATTTGGTATTGTTTTATAGGAAATTGCAGATTTGGAGCATTTTCCCAGATTTATTAGAGCCACTACGAGCATTGGAGTAAGGTCGCATTTATATGACCACATTCCGAAGCCCAGGACCGGTTGGAGTCATCAAATCGGTGATTAAGGGCCCGGCGAAGAAGAAGAGTCCAGGGCAATGGACCATGTATTCAGAACCCAAAGAGGAAATGCGAATTGGGCTAAGAAACGACCCAATTGAAGAAGTCCAAGCTTGCCCGGGAGCTCGCCCGGTAGGGCAAGCCTTCACCCGAAGGTGCGCCCGGCAGGGCGAGACCTCGCCCGACCGGGTGCATGTTTCTGAAGGAGTTTAAAGATATAATTTGTTTTATCTTTTTAGCAAAACTATAAATACGATTTATGTTAGGAAGTTAAGGACGGTTTTTTCGCACTCTTTACTCAAATTACTGATTATTATTAGTTTAAGCTTTTGTTAATACTTTACACTTTCTCTCTCTACACTCTTGAGTTTTATGCAATTTATTATTTCCATTAATTTTGGTAACGATTTCTTCCCTCTATACTTTCAGTAATTTAATTACTTTGATTTAATTATGTCTTGCTTTTTTGCTTTGATTAGTGGAGATTTAATTATGTGTGAGTAGTTTAATTCTAGGGTTTGTGGGGATCCATAAATAATATGAAGGGGTAAATTGTTATTGTTGGTTGTTAATGCTTGATTGATTTCCTATTGATTGATTTAATGCTATGCAATTAGATTTGGCTAGGTTTATTTGTATGAGTTATGCAATATTGATTCGAGATTCGAGAGATGAGAATTGATGTTTAGGCTTAGTTTCAATAGGCTGGTTAATTTATAAATGGTTAAGTCAAGATTCGAGAGATGCGATTTAATACCGGTAGATTAATTCTGTGATTATAATACGTAGCGAAAGCCCTTTATGATCTGATTAATTTATGCATTGATAATTAATTGTTATGTTCTTACCCTGGAGTATTATTTATTGGTGAACCTATACCCTAGGCCTTTTATTATTGATTATTCCCTTATTTAATTTGCTTAGTTTAATTGTTAGTTTAATTCCCACAATACAAATTGGTTACTTGATAATTTTGATTATAATAATTGATTAGGAATAAAAGAACATTGTTTCCCTGTGGATTCGACCCTACTTCCCTATCTACTTTAGTTAGAGGACTTAGGAATTACTTTTGATTAGGTGATACGACTAGAACCCATCACAACCCCTTTAAATTTTGTCAAATCTCATTATTAATTATGTTTGGTTAAATTAATAGTGAATATAGCCCTTCAATTTTGAAGCATCAAGATGAACCAAAATAGTGTAAAGAATGGTTCTTGAATTGATTTTGGTTTGTGCACTAAAATTGAATTTATTTAAGTTGGACTTGATTTATTTTAATTTTTGCTCAAAATTGGTTCTAAAATAAATTTAGAATTGATTTTATATCACACATAAATCGGGATTATATCCCGAGCTAAGTGCACGCAAATCGAGGCAAAGATTGTCGAAAACACACCCTTTGGCTAACTGGGCTGCTCACGCAGCCTACATGTGGTTGCCAAGGTCCGTGTGTGGGCTGCCATGCTACGATGGTGCGCTAGTGTGTGATGTGTGCGAGCTCGGTGCACTCTTTGGGGCTAAAATATCCGGCAATGGGCTGCGTGGCTTGTGAGTGCTAGCAGGCCAGCCACACGCTGCCAGCGCCAGTAACGTGCTAGCATGCGTAGCATGCTGCGAGGTTGCTGGTGCTAGCTGGCGTGGCATCCGCTGCTAGCTAGGCATGCCAGCACCCATGCGCGCAATGTCAAGGCATTTGGCCGTTTGGTGGGCAGCACAACCCCGCACACTCTAGGGCCTTTGAGGCCACGTCTTGCTTGCACGCAAGCAAGCTAATGTGGCCAGCACGCGCAAGTGATGCTGTCAGCCACTCCCACGTGCTTGGCGCAGCAAGGGGTGTGCGAGGGGTGGCAGCCGCACCTTGGTGCCTAGCACACCGAGCCTCGAGGCTTGGTGCTAGGCACTCGGGCATCAAGGGGCTATACAATTTTGCGTTCTTTGTCGTTTTAATTATTTTATTTTATTATTTAACGAGGCTAGGCCTCAGTTTTGCCGGCACTTGCAAAATAATTTGGCAAAATTTTGGTTAACCGGTTTAATTAATTGGATTAATTAAGTTGGATGCGGAATTTAGTGGGAGCTTTGTTAATTACTTGAGCTAATTTTATTGTGTTTTAATCACATAATCGGTTAACAACTTTGACTAGTTTTAATTAGGCGCGTTAATCGGATTAACCACCTAAGTCAGTTACTAGTTTGCGCGTGTCATGCATTGCTACCTGTTCTTCGTTGTAAAATGCATGGGCCATTCACATATAGTGAATGGATGAATGGAAGGTATATTCTATCACAAGTTTTGTGAAATTGGCAACTAGTGGGGCCCGATTAGGATAGTAAATACGGACTGCGATCCGTTATGTATTTTTGTAAATCTAAATACGGTCTGCGTACCGTTGCGTATTTTTTGTACCTTAATATTTAGATTAGTCCTAGTCATAATAACTAGTAGATGCATAATTGGTGGAGATGTCTAGAAGACGGCGTTTCTAAGAAGACAAGCCAAAAGGATGCATCGAAGACCCTTGAAGACTTGAAGACTCAAGAGGTCATGCTAGTTGTCAAATGCATCTTTTACTTATGTTTTCTATATATATAATTATGTTTATGTATGAATGGATGTTAGATGCATGTTTAGGATTTCGAATGTTGTGATGATTAATTAAGTTCACTTAAATCAACCAATATAGAAACCCTAGGTCCCTATAAAATTGAGCCAAATTTGCCATTCCAAGAACAACACTTACCGTACTAATGCGAGTGGTGATGGGCTATGCCAAAGCAAGGCATCACTACTTCCCTAGGAACGTAAGGTATACTAGGTATACAAGTTGGTTTTGGTTAAGCTCAACGATATCAGTAAGGAGTCCTTAGATATCGTGGCAATGGAGATAAAATGTCAAGGAAGCATTAGATGCGACGTTTTATCGAACCAAGTGTAGCTTAGAGCAATTAGTAATTGGATTGCTTACCCTAAAATATTAAGTGTTAAGACAAGCCAAAGCGTGCTTAACACTTTTTGATTTTTGGGATCTTGGAATCGTTTTATTCTCGCCTAAAAGGAACAAATATTAATGCGTAGATGAAACGCTCAATAAGATTGAAAATTTGCATGTATTCATACTTATTGGTTTTATGAATGGTTTTTCATTTCAAATTCTTCCAATTGTAGAATCATGTCTGCAACTAATAACAACAACTCTATGTGCCCGGAACTCCCAGACAAGTTGGCTTTTAGCCTAAACTTGGTCAACTTCAAGGAGTGGGAAGAGGAACTCCAGAAAACTCTTCGGAATTGTTCCATGGAGTACATTCTTGATACTCCCATTCCAAGCTTCTTCTCTAAGGGAATCATGAGTGATGAAACTCATGATGCATTGTCTTCTGATTGCAAGAAAGTCTCACGACTAATGGCTAATTCCATCCCGGAAGAATGGAAGGAAAAGTTCTCCTCCTATTTTTCGGACATGTTCCTCAAAGCACTTGAGGACATTGTCAATGTGAGTGTCACCAAGAGTCTCAATGGAAGCTATGATGGACTCGTGTTTGATGTGACTAGGTCACTCTCAAACATGAAGATAAAGCCACCGGAATAGGATTGCCTTGCTAAGGAGAGGTAGCGGCTTTGGTCAAGGGTCTACAATACCAAATTGAGACCCGGTATGCCCCTCCAACCTCATGTGCTTAGAATGACTAGGCTCTTTAAGCACATGGAGCTTCTCGAAATCCCGTTGGAGGACGAGATAGTGGGTCATATCTTGCTTGCCTCACTCCACTCGGGCTATGATGCACTTAGGTTTCATATAGCTGCGGGAAAGGAGTCACACTCTTTAAGAGATGTGGTGCAGCTACTTCGCCAAGCCACCTCCTACGGAGCAACCAAAAGGCCCTTGAGAGCAAAGAAGAAGGAGTTCAAGAACAAAACGAAGATGCGATGCTTCTATTGTGGTGGGCAAGGCCACTACAAGAGGGAATGCAAGATCTTCCAAAGGCATGAGGAGGAGAGGAATGTTTCATCTACCTCAAGTATCTTCATTAACACTTGTGTATAAAGCTATTCATAGGTATTAGATACCATGTTTAACTCACTTTATGCTCCCATTTTCAGGGACCAAGTGAGATGGGCTTCACAAGTGGATATGCAACTACGAGCAGACAATGAAGATGGTCTTCCCGTCGTGCTTGTAGGCACATCATTTGTCTTTTGCTTGTAATGAACTAATTCTTGTTTATTATGTTTTGAACAAATTTTGATCTATGGTGTTGGACGCCGAGTTATTTGATCGTAAGACTATAACAATGGTTGTTTTTTAATGTCTTGCTTATATGTTTTATTAGATTACACATTTTATATGTGACTGGACAAATGTTAATGATACCACCATTAGATCTAAGACCATTGAGTCGAATTAAACCTACTCGTGGCTAGGGGTGAGCAAGACCGGGTACCCGGTCATATTTGCAATACCCGGATCCGGAACTGGTTATAACTGGGTCCTAAGAATTGGAACTGGTCCCGGAACCGGTTAATACCGGATCCAAATTTCTTGGAACTGGTCCCGGACCCGGTAGGAACCGGTTCAAAAACTGGGTACCCGGTATTATTCAAAGTAGTAAATTACTGTTTTTTTTTAATAATTGTTATATAATATATACAATGGAATTTGCAAATAATGTTATTTTGTTTTCTTTTTTGTTATTCAAAGGGCTAGTTATATTAATATTTTTTGTTTTCTGTTTTTGGTAAATAGAACTTTGTATTACCAAAGAGGCTAGCAAAATACAAAGATTACAAAAGTACCAATTCAACAACCTAAAATATCAATACAACAATGCTGCAAACATTATCAAAACAACAAGTACTTATAATAAAAGTTCAGACATAAAAGGGGTAGAAAAAGAAAGGCAGCAGCAGTTGAGCAACAACAGCCAGCAATAAGACCAGCAGCAACCTGATGATCCTGAACGTCATTAAACTACATGAAATCAGACAACAATTACAATATTCTGGAACTGTGGCACACATAAGATCCAACCAAAGTACGAGCTATTGGCAAAAGCATTAGCAACGAAATTTGAAATCTAGAACCCTAAATCTTACAAAAATAAATAATTTGGGGGTTTTAGATGAAACCCTAGAAATTAAAACTCAATAAAGACAAAAAAATTTTCGACAAAAATAAATAATTTCTCATACTCAAATTACATTGAAATAGAATCATAAATCAATTCGCAGCAATTGAGCCAAAATAATTCATCAATATGAATCAAAATCAACTAATTAACCAGAAAAAAATAAAAAGATAAATACAATATCTATGAATTCACATTCGGCAAAAACAAAGGAAAATCAAACAATTAACCAGAAAAATATAAAGATAAATACAATATCTATGAATTCACAATTTGACCAAAAGTGAAAAAAGTGAGAAAAAACTTACGGAGAAGGCGTCCAGTACTAGAGATTCAGAGAAGGCAGAGATTCAGAGAAGACCGAGAGAATTAAGAACTCAGGAAGGATTAGATTTTGAGGAGAGAATGAGAAAAGAGAGGATGAGAAAAGAGAGAATCAGAGAAGATGGAGGTTGAAAGGAAAATTAGAAAACCCTAGAGTAATAGGACTAAAAACCGTGAAAAATAGATAAATGGGCTAATGGGCTTTTAGGATTTTGGGTTTTTTTTAAAAAAATAAACTAAATTTTTATAACTAACTCAGTACCGGTTCCGGGTACCCGGTTTGTCTGGATCCGGGACCGGGTACCCGGAACTGGAATTGGTTTAAACCGGGTACCCAGTGGGTACTAGGTCGGAAATTTTAGGATCCGGTCCCGGAACCGGTTACAACCGGATCCGACATTTTGGACCCAGTCCCGGAACCGGTAAGACCAATTCCGGGTCCGGTACCGGGTACCCTGGGTCTTTGCTCACCCCTACTCGTGGCATTGTCGTCTTGGCCACATTAACATCAAACACATCAACAAACTTCTTCATGAAGGTATTCTTGACTCATTCGACTTAAAGTAGTCGTTTGAAAATTGCGAAGGATGTTTATTAGGCAAGATGATAAAGCAACCATTCTCCAAGTTAGGAGAAAGGGCTAGTGACTTATTGGGCCTTATACATACGGATGTATGTGGACCAATGAGTACACCCGCAAGGCATGGTTATCGATAATTCATCACCTTTACGGACGACTATAGTAGATATGGATATGTCTACCTTATGTCGAACAAATATGAATCTTTTGAGAAATTCAAAGAGTTTTAGAGTGAAGTGGAAAATCAACTAGGCAAGAAAATCAAAGCGCTTCGATCGAATCGAGGTGGCGAGTATTTGAGCCACGAATTCGACGATCAATCTGAAAGAAAATGGTATTCTCTCATAATTGACACCTCCCGGAACTCCGCAATGGAACGGAGTGTCCGAGAGGAGGAATCGAACCTTGTTAGACATGGTCCGATCAATGATGGGTCTTAGCTAACTTCCTATCTCTTTCTGGGGACACGCACTTCTAACTGCAACACTAACACTGAACCGAGCTCCGTCAAAAGCTGTCGAAAAGACTTCATATGAATTATGGACGAAGAAACCTCCACAGTTGTCTTTTCTTAAGATTTGGGGTTGCGAAGCATATGTCAAGAGATTAATTTCTGACAAACTTCACCCAAAATTAGACAAGTGTTTCTTTGTGGGATACCCAAAAGAAACTAAGAGGTATTACTTCTACAACAAATCCGAGAATAAAGTGTTTGTTGCTCGTGATGGTGTCTTTTTGGAGAAGGAGCACCTTTCCAAAATGACAAGTGGGAGGAAAATTGAACTCGATGAAGTTCGAGAGGACGAGCAACAAAGTCAACCTGACAAAATTGACAATCAAAGTGCTTTAGAAGCAGCTGTTGACATTGGTCAGAGTCAAACCAACAATGCAAATGCTCAACCTATTACCCTGCGTAGGTTGCAACGGCCAAGATCTCAACCAGACAGATTCCTTGGTATTGTCTTAACTGAAGATCAAGACATCCTAATTATGGATGGAGATGAGCCAGCGGCGTATAAACAAGCTATGACGAACCCCGACTCTGCAAAATGGCAAGAGGCCATGAAATCTGAGATGGACTCCATGTTTGAAAATCAAGTCTGGGACTTGGTTGATTTGCCCGAAGGTTACACACCTATCGGTTGCAAATGGGTTTTTAAGTTGAAAACCGACAAAGATGGAAATGTATCTATATACAAAGCTAGATTGGTGGCAAAAGGTTACAAGCAAATTCACGGCATTGATTATGATGAAACCTTTTTACCAGTCGCCATGCTTAAGTTCGTCCGGATTATCCTAGCAATTGCCGCATATTATAATTATGAAATTTGGCAAATAGATGTCAAAACCGCCTTCCTTAATGGGATTTTGGAAGAAATTGTGTACATGACACAGCCGGAAGGTTTTATTGATCCAAGAAATGCTGGGAAGGTATGCAAGCTTAAGAAGTCCATTTATGGATTAAAGCAGGCAAGCAGAAGTTGGAATCTGCGATTCGGTGAATCCATTAGTAAGTTTGGTTTTATCAAGAATCCAGATGATTCTTGTGTCTACAAGAAGGTTAGTGGGAGCGACATCGCATTCCTCGTCTTATATGTCGATGACATATTGCTCATTGGAAACAACATTCCAATGTTAGAATCCGAAAAGGCTTGGCTTGGAATGTGTTTTCCAATGAAGGACTTGGGAGAGGCATTATACATATTAGGCATCAAGATCTATCGAGATAGATCTAAAAGGATGATTGGATTGAGCCAAAGTACTTATATTGATAAGCTACCGGCACGATTCAACATGGAAGGGGTCAAGAGAGGGCACTTACCCATGTCGCATGGTATAACTCTCACCAAGAAGCAGTGTCCACAGACACCTGATGAACGAGAGAGGATGAATCAGATTCCATATGCTTCGCTTATTGGATTGATCATGTATGCCATAATATGTACTAGGCCGAATGTATCATATGCCTTGAGTGCTACAAGCCGATACCAATCAGACCTAGGAGAGGCGCATTGGATTGCGGTAAAAAATATCCTAAAGTACTTGAAAAGGAACAAGGATAAATTCCTGGTCTATGGTGGAAGTAATGATTTGGTTGTTGATGGTTATACCGACGCAAGCTTCCAGACTGACAGAGACGACTCCAAGTCGCAGTCAAGGTACATATTCTGTCTAAATGGAGGATCATTTAGTTGGAAGAGTGCTAAGCAAAGCACTACTGCAGATTCTACAACTAAAGCCGAATACTTGGCAGCTTCAGAATCAACTAAGGAGGCAGTTTGGATTCGTAAGTTCATTAGTGAACTTGATGTTGTACCCTCCATCAAGGGTCTGATAGACCTCTATTGTGATAACAATGGAGCTATTGCTCAGGCCAGGGAGCCAAGGGAACATCAGAAGGTCAAACATGTCAAGAGGCTATTTCACATGATAAGGGAATGAAAGTCTGAGGGTGAAATCAGAATTGTAAGATTGGAACGGACGACAATGTAGCCGATCCACTCACTAAACCTTTGCCTCAAGTGAAGCACAATAAGCACGTTAAGGCAATGGGAATCAGGCACGTTGGAGATTGGCTTTGATTTCCCTATTCGTGTGTTTTAATTAAATTTAAGGTTTTTAATGTAAAACACTATGTTGAACCATTCGTTTTTGGAGTAATTATATTTTCTGCAAAATTATTATCACTCCATTTCTATTTAATTGTGGTTTAGAATTAAATAATGAGTCCATTCGATTTATGACAATATTCAAAACAGGGTATCAAGACCATGTCTTGGATAAAGAAACACCTGTTAAGTGACCATTGAATATTTCAATCGAAAAGTATCCCTAATCAAGGTCATTTAAGTGATGGACGATTAATGACCACTTGAGATTAGTGTGTATTATGATTTATAGCACCGTTTCTTGTGCTATAAGGACATGGTTGTCATAAATCATTTGCACAGGTATTGGTTTGGAACTATACCGGATCGACCTATGAGAATACTTTAAGAGATTTTAAATCGTCATTAGTATATTTCTCATTATAGCTATCGAAACCTTTTCCTCGACCATGAGTATTGTAAGTTCTACTGTTGGAGTACTAGTCCATTTTGATGTTGTCAAACGTCTGCCGTAAATGGGGATTATAACGGCAACACTCGGGCGGCTAGGTCCTCTTAGTAAGGGAAGCTAACAATACAAGACTGGGAATGTCCCCCTATTAACAATAAGGAACATGTCTTTGTTGTTTACAAGGCATCTCGAAGAGCGAGACTGTGAAAATGCATGGCCATGCTCAGATGGATTTTAGAAATCATCTGCTTATTGACAATCGAACTCGGAAATCGAGAAACACTTTTGGACGTAATAAGAATGACGAAGAATCTTAGCTTATAGTTCATGAAGAGACATTAAGTGACATAGGATATGGGCTATACACTACCCGCACACTTGTCCGGAAGGACAAGTGGGAGATTGAAAGGAATGGAGTCCTTCCAAGAAGTTTATTATTCCGATAAAGGGTTCAGAATTATTAGAAAACTAATTATTCAGTGAGGTCAAGTGATCGGAATGTCTAGGTGGAGGCCGCTTCCGATCAGTAATATTAATGTATAATTAATATTACACCCAAGGGCAATATAGCTAGCCAAGACAACCGCACCATGCCGAGCTAGCTAGCAACACATGCGTGCTAGCATCGCAAGCTAGCAGCGTTGGCTCGCTAGCTGGTGCGGCATGGCCAGCATTGCTGGCGCGCTAGGCGTGCTAGCATGATAGTGCCTCGCACATAGCAGCACACGCCGCACCATCGCAAGGCCAGAGCACGTAAGTGCTTGCTGGGCCTCGCTAGCACAAGCAACGCAGCAGCAGCACGCAATGCATGCGTGGGTTGCGGGTGTGCGTGCTTGCGTGCTGGGCTGCGTAGACGCACAATGCCCAGCTAGCAGGCCTAGCCAAGGGGCTAGGCCGCCAGCAAGGCAGCCTTGGCGCCTAAGGCTGGCAGCACCAGCTGGCGCGCGTGCATTGGTTGTGTGTGTGGGGAGCCGGTTTATGTGGGTTGCTTGGGGAGCAAAGGGTGGATGGTGCCCTCCCCTTGTGGTCCTCACCTAACCTCTTGCTCTCTACTTGACACTTGTTGTTTGTTGATTCACTTGCATTTTAATTTATTTTTGAATTAAAATAAATTGAATAAAGTGCATTTTAACCAAATCTCCCACATTAATGGGAGATTGGAATTTAAGCCTCCCTTCCCTATAAATACCCATCATTTGGGATTGGGAAGGGACCCTTGAGTTGAGAATTTTAAGGGATCTCCTAGAAGAGAATACCCTAATTCTAATACTCTAAGTTCTTGGTCTAGCCCCGACTAACTTTCGGGGTAGGGACCGTTCGGGTCGGGTCTCGAGGGTGTGAGTCGTCGGAGGCTCACGCGCTTGCGGAGCTAGCGCTTTCAAGTACGAGCTCTAAAGGAGCGAAGCACGCGTCGAGGGTAAGATCGTCTTTTCTCTCTCTTAGTTAATTAATTATGTGATTATTAATTAATATGCATGTTTAGTTACATTAATTTATGTGTGGGTCTTGGGAGGGCTTCATTCCGCGTAGTGTCGGACACTACGAAACCCAACAAG